CGGAGCAACGCAACATGCAAATAACTGGTGACATAATTCGTACAAACACACACACACAGCGTCTCTCTCCCTATGGATTTTTCTCAGGGCCCTCCGGTTTTTCCCTCCACATTTAGAATCAACATCAACGCGTTCAGAGTATTTGGCTGCTACAAATGTCACATGATGATGATGATAAGCCACTTACACACACACCCACGTGTACACAACCCACCCACGTGTGCACACACAGGGAGAGGTAGTGTCGCGGTTAGCACACTGCGCTACGAAAATAGCGAGCTGAGAGATCGTCAACACTAGTAACGATGATCTGAACCGGTCCTGGGCCTCCTCTAGGTTGACTCAGCCTCAAATAAGTACCTAGTGTGGTGTATGAACATCGCCACTGGGGAGACAAAGGCGGCTGGGCGTGGTGCTGGCCACCCACCCCATCGTGTGCCGTGCCGGCCTTCATAGGTGCTCGCGAAGAGTACTTGCCCCAACAGTCTGTTAAGGCTATACGGGGGAACTGTCTTTGTACACGTGTATGCACACGTGTGCTATATAGCAGCTCAGCGGGCCTTACCTGGTAAAATAAAATAGCTAGTAAATAGTTAGATAGTATGAGCATGGTTCACTCCACCGGTTACATTTCAAGCTGTCTTTTGTTCAAAAAGGAGAGAATTGGACAGGCATCCAGGACGGGTCATCAATAGCAACAACGCCAGAGCCAAGTGCCACGTGGAAAGCAAACAGAAACCAGAGCGGCGACACCGGGACAAACAAACGTTGCGTGACCTGGTTCAGCAGCAGGAGCCCAGTCGTGTTCGGATATAAACTAAACTATAAAGCTACGTGCGACCGCTCCCCCACCACACCACCGTGCCACAGCTCCCCCACTGCACCACCGTGCCACCACTCCACCACCACACCACCGTGTCACAGCTCCGCCACCGCACCACCGTGCCACAGCTCCCCCACCGCACCACCGTGCCACCGCTCCCCCACCGCAACCACCGTGCCACAGCTCCCCACCGCACCACCGTGCCACAGCTCCACCACCACACCACCGTGCCACCGCTCCCCCACCGCAACCACCGCACCACAGCTCCCCACCGCACCACCGTGCCACAGCTCCACCACCACACCACCGTGCCACCGCTCCCCCACCGCAACCACCGCACCACAGCTCCCCACCGCACCACCGTGCCACAGCCCCCCCCCCACACCACCGTGCCACCGCTCCCCCACCGCAACCACCGTGCCACAGCTCCCCACCGCACCACCGTGCCACAGCTCCCCACCGCACCACCGTGCCACAGCTCCACCACCACACCACCGTGCCACCGCTCCCCCACCGCAACCACCGCACCACAGCTCCCCACCGCACCACCGTGCCACAGCTCCACCACCACACCACCGTGCCACCGCTCCCCCACCGCAACCACCGCACCACAGCTCCCCACCGCACCACCGTGCCACAGCTCCCCCACCACACCACCGTGCCACCGCTCCCCCACCGCAACCACCGCACCACAGCTCCCCACCGCACCACCGTGCCACAGCTCCCCCACCACACCACCGTGCCACCGCTCCCCCACCGCAACCACCGCACCACAGCTCCCCACCGCACCACCGTGCCACAGCTCCACCACCACACCACCGTGCCACCGCTCCCCCACCGCAACCACCGCACCACAGCTCCCCACCGCACCACCGCGCCACAGCTCCCCCACCCCACCACCGTGCCACCGCTCCCCCACCGCAACCACCGTGCCACAGCTCCCCACCGCACCACCGTGCCACAGCTCCCCCACCACACCACCGTGCCACCGCTCCCCCACCGCAACCACCGTGCCACAGCTCCCCACCGCACCACCGTGCCACAGCTCCCCCACCGCAACCACCGTGCCACAGCTCCCCCACCGCAACCACCGTGCCACAGCTCCCCCACCGCAACCACCGTGCCACCGCTCCCCCACCGCAACCACCGTGCCACAGCTCCCCACCGCACCACCGTGCCACAGCTCCCCCACCGCAACCACCGTGCCACCGCTCCCCCACCGCAACCACCGTGCCACAGCTCCCCACCGCACCACCGTGCCACCGCTCCCCCACCGCACCACAGCTCCCCCCCCGCACCACCTTGCCACAGCTCCCCCACCACACCACCGTGCCACAGCTCCCCCACCACACCACCGTGCCACAGCTCCCCCACCGCACCACCTTGCCACCGCTCCCCCACCGCACCACCTTGCCACCGATCCCCCACCGCACCACCGTGCCAAAACTCCGCCACCGTGCCACCGCTCCCCCACCGCACCACCTTGCCACAGCTCCCCCACCGCACCACCTTGCCACCGCTCCCCCACCGCACCACCGTGCCACAGCTCCCCCACCGCATCACCTTGCCACAGCTCCCCCACCGCACCACCGTGCCACAGCTCCCCCACCGCATCACCGTGCCACCGCTCCCCCACCACACCACCGTGCCACCGCTCCCCCACCGCACCACCATGCCACAGCGCCACCACCCCACCACCGTGCCACCGCTCCCCCACCGCACCACCGTGCCACAGCTCCCCCACCGCACCACCGTGTCACAGCTCCCCCACCACACCACCGTGCCACCGCTCCCCCACCACATCACCGTGCCACCGCTCCCCCACCACACCACCGTGTCACCGCTCCCCCACCACATCACCATGCCACAGCTCCCCCACCACACCACCGTGCCACCGCTCCCCCACCACATCACCATGCCACAGCTCCCCCACCACACCACCGTGCCACCGCTCCCCCACCACATCACCATGCCACAGCTCCCCCACCACACCACCGTGTCACAGCTCCCCCACCACATCACCATGCCACAGCTCCCCCACCACACCACCGTGCCACCGCTCCCCCACCACATCACCATGCCACAGCTCCACCACCACACCACCGTGCCACAGCTCCCCACCGCACCACCGTGCCACAGCTCCCCCACCACACCACCGTGCCACAGCTCCCCCACCACACCACCGTGCCATAGCTCCCCCACCGTGCCACCGCTCCCCACCGCACCACCGTGCCACAGCTCCCCCACCAAATCACCGTGCCACCGCTCCCCCACCACACCACCGTGCCACCGCTCCCCCACCACATCACCTTGCCACAGCTCCCCCACCGCACCACCGTGCCACCGCTCCCCCACCGCACCACCGTGCCACCGCTCCCCCACCGCACCACCGTGCCAGAACTCCGCCACCACGCCACCGTGCCACAGCTCTCCCACCACACCACCGAGTGCACTGGACTCCGATCCTGGTGACCCAATTCGATTTTCACTCACGGCTAACATCAGTGGAAAACTAAACCAGTCCTGGGGTCTCCCTTGTGTCGACTGAGCCTTAAATGAGTAACCGGTGCAGTGTGGAAACATCGGCACTGGCGAGACAAATGCGGCCGGGCGTCATGCTGGCCACCCACCCCCGGTCTTCATTGGTGGCTACTCGCTGACAGCACTTGCCCCAGCAGTCTGTGTGGTCTACACGGGGGATCTTTGTCTTGTGTGTCTACACACGCGCACACACAGCCGTATATAAATGATTCGTACGCAGCTGCTACTGCTGCTGCCTGGGAGGAGACTGAAGCAGCTCAATTTAATTAGCGCGGCTCTCGGGAAATAAGCCAAACCACTCAGACAATCAACCCCGGGGCATCGGAGCTCCCCCACCACCTCCTCTTCTTTCTCCCTCCCTCCCAACACCACCACCACCACCCACCCACAACTCACCCACCCACCCCACTCACTCACTCACCATCCCACTGACTAATTCACCATCCCACTCACCATCCCACCAATCCCCAACTCACCCATCCTCCACCCTACTCACTAACGCCCCCCACCCCCAACTTCACCCACTTATCCAACCCACCCACCATCCCACTCACCACCACGACCCCCCAACTCACGCCCGCACCCCACTCACTCACCATCCCACCAACACCCGACTCACTCACCCACTTATCCAATCCACCCACCCACCATCACACCCACTCACCCACGTACTCACTCACCATCCTATCCACCCTCCCAATCACTCACCTAACTTACTCACCATCCCACCCCACAAGCCACTTGCCCACCCACTCACCAACGGACTCCCCGATGAACTCACCCAACCACTCTCCACCACCCAAGTGGTGGAGAGTGGGTGGGAGTGAGTAAGTGAGTGAGAAAGTGAGTGAGTGATTGGGTGAGTGAGGCAGTAGGTCAGTGAGTGAGTCAGTAGGTGAGTGAGTGGGTGAATGATTCAGAAGGTGAGTAGGTGAGTAGATTGGTGAGTCAGTAGGTGAGTAGGTGAGTGAGTGGGTGAGTCCGTAGGTGAGTAGGTGACTGAGTAAATAGGTGAGTGAGTAGGTTAGTGAGCGAGTGAGTGGATGAGTGAGAGAGTGAGCGAGTGGGTGAGTGAGTAGGTGAGCAAGAGAGCAAGTGAACGAGTGAATGGATAAGTGAGTGAACGAGTGAGTTAAAGAGTGAGTGAACGAGTGAGTGGATGAGTGAGCGAGCGAGCGGGTGAGTGAGTAGGTGAGCAAGAGAGCAATTGGATGAGTGAGTAAACCAGTGAGTGGGTAAGTTAGTGAGCGAGTCAGTGGATGAGTGAGCGAGCGAGTGAGAGGGCGAGTAAGGAGTTGAGCAAGTGAATGAGCGAGCGAGTGGATGAGTGAGTGACCGAGTGAGTGGATGAGTGAGTGACCGAGCAATTGCGTGAGCAGGTGAGTGAGCGAGCGGGTGAGTGAGTAGCTGAGCGAGTGAGCGAGAAAGCGAGTGGATGAGTGAGTGAGAGGGTGAGTGAGAGAGCGAGCGGGTGAGCGAGAGGGTCAGAGAGCGACCGGTGCATGGGTGAACAATTGAGCGAGAGAGTGAGTGGATGAGTGAGTGGATGAGTGAGTGAACGAGTGAGTGAGTGGGTCAGCGGGTGAGCGAGAGGGTGAGCGTGCGAGTGGGTGAGCGTGCGAGCGAGCGAGTTCACCTCTGCAGGAACTCTGGGATGGGGACGCGTGCCGCGTATCCGTGGCGACGAGCGCGCGCCATGGCGACCACCCCCAGCGTCCTCAGCTGCCGCGCGACGACTTCAGGATGGAAGGGAGGGCTCGGGGGGGGCGCTGCCGTGGGGAGGGCTCGGGGGGCCGCCGCGGTGGGACGCACACACAACACCACGTGCAGGCTGCACGGACGCAGCAGGCCTAGGATCTCACGCACCGAGGACTTGGGGGGTGAGGTGGGGGGGGGCAGGGCGGGTAAGGGGGGGAAGTGGGGGGGGGAAAGTGAGAGGGTGGTGCAATCAGGCCTGGCATTTATTTTGTTAACACAGAGACGAGGAAGCGTGCGTGAGAGGTCACGAGTAGCGTGAGAGGTCACGAGTAGCGCGAGAGGTCACGAGTAGTGTTAGAGGTCGCGAGTAGTGTTAGAGGTCACAAGTAGCGTTAGAGGTCGCGAGTAGCGTTAGAGGTCGCGAGTAGCGTTAGAGGTCACGAGTGTTTACAAGGAACCATGTGTGCATTAACCACGATACAGTTTTGTTGCCAGAAAAAAGAGGAAAAACCCTATTATTATATTTTGGTACTGGCAAAGGAGGTCTAATGATGTAGTCGCGAGTAGCATTAGAGGTCGCGAGTAGTGTTAGAGGTCATGAGTGTTAGAGGTTGCAAGTAGTGTTAAAGGTTGCAAGTAGTGTTAGAAGTCGCGAGACGTAAAGGTGACGACGTTCCTAAATGTGTCGAGTTAACAACCCTCAAAGGAGTCAAGCGGGACGACGCACAGCTGTTGCGAAGCTACAGTGGACTGTGACACACTGAGCTGTGACACCAACAGTCTGTCAAGACTACACGGGGGATCTTTCTCTTCTGAGGGTGAGCCAGCATTTTCAGGTAGAGGGGGCAACCCCTCCAGAAATGAAAAATGATAGGAGTTGTTAGTAAGTAAGGTCTTGTCCCTTGCTTTTTATTCGACGCATGTGCGGCGATGGCACATGGCCTGGAAGTATGACATGATTTGATCGTTCGTCACCATCACAGCAGTTTCCTTCTCTACAGTGAGGGAAAAAAGCATTTGATCCCCTGCTGATCTTGTACGTTTGCCCACTGACAAAGAAATTATCAGTCTATAATTTTAATGGTAGGTTTATTTGAACAGTGAGAGACAGAATAACAACAACAAATCCAGAAAAACGCATGTCAAAAATGTTATAAATTGATTTGCATTTTAATGAGGGAAATACGTATTTGACCCCCTCTCAATCAGAAAGATTTCTGGCTCCCAGGTGTCTTTTATACAGGTAACAAGCTGAGATTAGGAGCATACTCTTAAAGGGAGTGCTCCTAATCTCAGCTTGTTACCTGTATAAAAGACACCTGTTCACAGAAGCAATCAATCAATCAGATTCCAAACTCTCCACCATGGCCAAGACCAAAGAGCTCTCCAAGGATGTCAGGGACAAGATTGTAGACCTACACAAGGCTGGAATGGGATACAAGACCATTGCCAAGCAGCTTGGTGAGAAGGTGACAACAGTTGGTGCGATTATTCGCAAATGGAATAAACATAAAAGAACTGTCAATCTCCCTCGGCCTGGGGCTCTATGCAAGATCTCACCTCGTGGAGTTGCAATGATCATGCGAACGGTGAGGAATCAGGCCAGAACTACACGGGAGGATCTTGTCAGTGATCTCAAGGCAGCTGGGACCATGGTCACCAAGAAAACAGTTGGTAACACACTACGCCGTGAAGGACTGAAATCCTGCAGCGCCCGCAAGGTCCCCCTGCTCAAGAAAGCACATATACATGCCCGTCTGAAATTTGCCAATGAACATCTGAATGATTCAGAGGACAACTGGGAGAAAGTGTTGTGGTCAGATGAGACCAAAACGGAGCTCTTTGGCATGAACTCAACTCGCCGTGTTTGGAGGAGGAGAAATGCTGCCTATGACCCCAAGAACACCATCCCCACCGTCAAACATGGAGGTGGAAACATGCTTTGGGGGTGTTTTTCTGCTAAGGGGACAGGACAACTTCACCGCATCAAAGGGACGATGGACGGGGCCATATACTGTCAAATCTTGGGTGAGAACCTCCTTCCCTCAGCCAGGGCATTGAAAATGGGTCGTGGGTGGGTATTCCAGCATGACAATGACCCAAAACACACGGCCAAGGCAACAAAGGAGTGGCTCAAGAAGAAGCACATTAAGGTCCTGTAGTGGCCTCGGCAGTCTCCAGACCTTAATCCCATAGAAAATCTGTGGAGGGAGCTGAAGGTTCGAGTTGCCAAACGTCAGCCTCGAAACCTTAATGACTTGGAGAAGATCTGCAAAGAGGAGTGGGACAAAATCCCTCCTGAAATGTGTGCAAACCTGGTGGCCAACTACAAGAAACGTCTGACCTCTGTGATTGCCAACAAGGGTTTTGTCACCAAGTACTAAGTCATGTTTTGCAGAGGGGTCAAATACTTATTTCCCTCATTAAAATGCAAATCAATTGATAACATTTTTGACATGAGTTTTTCTGGATTTTGTTGTTATTCTGTCTCTCACTGTTCAAATAAACCTAAAATTAAAATTATAGACTGATCATTTCTTTGTCAGTGGGCAAACGTACAAAATCAGCAGGGGATCAAATACTTTTTTCCCTCACTGTACATACAGCAGCATGGCGTCATTGAGGTAGTCGGAGCCCATTGCGGTATGCAAACGCGTCTTGATGATTTTCAGGACGCTGAAGACGCGCTCGGTCATGCTGTCGCCACTGACAGGGTCAGTATCAGCCACAGAAATCGTTATACAAGGTGGTAGCCGGCCGTGGCCCAGTCGGTCAGCACCAGCATGAACGATAGTTCAGGGAGTGTGCCCATATTCTTCAATAGCTCATCCTTCTCTATCTCCCTGCCGAAGTGGACCACCTGCTGATCGAGAAGCATTAGGTCGACGTCAGGAAAGTCAATCATGTAGAACTTGCAGGCCAGCTCCACGAGCTTGTCGACATTGAACGAGGCAAACTCCTTGCGTGGAGAGATACATGCTGCTAGGCAGAGCATCTCCATTGACTCGGCGCTGAATATGTAGGCGAACTCGGCCAACAACTTGTCGATCACTGGGTAGAACAGGTCGACATGGAAAACATGATAATTGGTGTTCATGTGCCGATTGCTACGAGGCCGGCAAGGTTGGACGAAGTTGGCAGTCATATCGGGCACCTCGAACTTGTGGGTCTCACAGAACTGCTGCACCTTGTGGAGCAGGTCATCGTCGCCGGTAACGCAACATCTCTGTCAGCGCTTCGATGATGCCATCGACCAACCGCAATGCATTGACGATGTCCTGGTCCTTCGTTTGCAGCGCCTGGGACAGATCATGCATGATAAGCAGCATCTTCTCCATTAGGTACAAGATGAATGCAAACTTGAACGTGCACATGCCGTCGAGCAGGCGCGTCGTCTCTACCCGCTGCTCCGACTTGCTGCCATCCATCTCCACATGCTGGATGACTTGCATTGTCACGCCGAACATGACGATCAAGCGATGCAGCGCATGCCAGAACGACGACTAGCACGTGTCACCTGGACGCACCAATGCCGTCTGCTGGCTCAGACCAGCAGATCGTTGATCATCTCCAGCACAATCTTGTTCTGCGTGTTGATGAGATCGTCGTTGCGCTTGAAAGAGCTCATCGCCACATTGATGATGTCAATGACCAATGTGAAGAACAGGCCGATGTCGGGGACGCCATCCTTGCAAGCAGCAACCAGAAAGTGTTGTGATCCGATGAGACCAAAACGGAGCTCTTTGGCATGAACTCAACTCGCCGTGTATGGAGGAGGAGAAATGCTGCGTATGACCCCAAGAACACCATCCCCACCGTCAAACATGGAGGTGGAAACATGCTTGGGGGTGTTTTTCTGCTAAGGGGACAGGACAACTTCACCGCATCAAAGGGACGATGGATGGGGCCATATACTGTCAAATCTTGGGTGAGAACCTCCTTCCCTCAGCTAGGGCATTGAAAATGGGTCGTGGGTGGGTATTCCAGCATGACAATGACCCAAAACACACGGCCAAGGCAACAAAGGAGTGGCTCAAGAAGAAGCACATTAAGGTCATGTAGTGGCCTTGCTAGTCTCCAGACCTTAATCCCATAGAAAATCTGTGGAGAGAGCTGAAGGTTCGAGTTGCCAAACGTCAGCCTCGAAACCTTAATGACTTGGAGAAGATCTGCAAAGAGGAGTGGGACAAAATCCCTCCTGAGATGTGTGCAAACCTGGTGGCCAACTACAAGAAACCTCTGACCTCTGTGATTGCCAACAAGGGTTTTGTCACCAAGTACTAAGTCATGTTTTACAGAGGGGTCAAATACTTATTTCCCTCATTAAAATGCCAATCAATTGATAACATTTTTGACATGCGTTTTTCTGGATTTTTTTGTTATTCTGTCTCTCACTGTTCAAATAAACCTACAATTAAAATTATAGACTGATCATTTCTTTGTCAGTGGGCAAACGTACAAAATCAGCAGGGGATCAAATACTTTTTCCCTCACTGTACATACAGCAGCATGGCGTCATTGAGGTAGTCGGAGCCCATTGCGGTACGCAAACGCGTCTTGATGATTTTCAGGACGCTGAAGACGCGCTCGGTCATGCTGTCGCCACTGACAGGGTCAGTATCAGTCACAGAAATCGTTATACAAGGTGGTAGCCGGCCGTGGCCCAGTCGGTCAGCACCAGCATGACCGATAGTTCAGGGAGTGTGCCCATATTCTTCAATAGCTCATCCTTCTCTATCTCCCTGCCGAAGTGGAACACCTGCTGATCGAGAAGCATTAGGTCGACGTCAGGAAAGTCAATCATGTAGAACTTGCGGGCCAGCTCCACGAGCTTGTCGACATTTAACGAGGCAAACTCCTTGCGTGGAGAGATACATGCTGCTAGGCAGAGCATCTCCATTGCCTCGGCGCTGAATATGTAGGCGAACTCGGCCAGCAACTTGTCGATCACTCGGTAGAACAGGTCGACACGGAAAACATGATAATTGGTGTTCATGTGCCGATTGCTACGAGGCCGGCAAGGTTGGACGAAGTTGGCAGTCATATCGGGCACCTCGAACTTGTGGGTCTCACAGAACTGCTGCACCTTGTGGAGCAGGTCATCGTCGCCGGTAACGCGCATCTCTGTCAGCGCTTCAATGATGCCATCGACCAACCGCAATGCATGG